CATTTTATATGAAAATGACTTGCAAATAAAATTACATACATAAAATATCCAAAATGTAAGACCTTCTTCTCTTATATGGGCGCTGGCTGAAGTAGTTGCCAAAATAGGTAAATATTTTATTCGAAATTCATAAATACATCCATAAATACATATGCCAAATTTCATTAGGCTAGCTTGCATATTAAAATTTATGCATAATAAAAGCTGCAGCCTGCTCCACTGTGCAGTAGAAAGTTCGCGTAAATAGTCGAACCCAATTACCGTCGCTCGCTGCTGTATACCAGCTCTAACTGTTATACACATAGGTATGTAGGAATGCTAAATATATAAAGACAATATCTAAACGAAGTTTTTTTTTATACAATTTCTTTTTCTTACTGTTGATTAACTGTGCTAATTTGGCAGTTAACAAATATTTTTTTGCCATTTAGGGCAGCTGGAATGAAATCGTTTCAGGGAAAAACCCCCAAGCAGTATTTGCTGTCTCAAATTTTAAGTGTGGGTAAGAACGAAACTAACAAAGTGGGTCTATATACGTATATACGTATAGGTATACATGTATGTATGTGAATTTGATAGCCAGCCTACTATGCGTGTCCGCCCACATTCGGCAGCGAATGTGGGCAATAACCAAAAACTGTCGCAGTTTTCATTATGACCAAAAATAAAAAAATCGAGTTTGTGTTTATTTAAAAGATAATTTCCATAAAAAACAGTGTTTTAATGCGCCTCTTGTGCTAAGTAGCTCTTAACTTGATTGCTGTTGCTGTTGCTGTTGCTGTCTGCTTAAACTGAGGGCGACAGCGCGTCTGTCAAAGCTTAAGCATTGTTCACGAATTAACTGTACAGAGTTATGTGCAATTTATCCGAAAATAAACGTAAACAATTTACATGGATCCACAAAAAAATGGAATAAACACAATTAATACATTTACATATATGCATATATAATACATTAAATAAAATAGTCAAGGAAAACATCAGCAGCAACAAAAACAATTTTAAATAATACAAAAGTGAAAAAAACAAAATTTTTTCTTTGCCAGCGCACATGACGATGACAGCGACGCTGGCAGCGGGGCAGCGTTGCTGGCAGCGCAGGCCTCCATTCATTATAAACGGTTTCATTCATAAAAACGACTCTGGCGAGTGAGTGAGCGAGCTAAGTGAATTCGCCGCTTGGCGCTCTTTCACTCAAATTCAATTCGCTCGACTCAACTTTTTTTGGAATTCGCTTTCGCTCTGACTGTTATTTTTCGCTCGCTGAAACGAGTTGAGTTTTGTGGCATTGGAGAGGAAGTTTCGAGTGTCGACTGCTGTCTGCTGTGCGTGTTTGTGTATGTGTGTTACATACTGAAATACATATTTACATACGATTCGTATGTATGTATGCATTTGGCAAGCCATTTTGATACTATGCCATATAGTAAATATGTATGTAAGTGCATGTATGTATGTATGTTTGTGTTTCGCTTCCTTCTGAACTGGAAAGTTCATGCTAATCTCTGCCTTGGCACCCAATAGTCTGTCTTCCAAGCTAGTATGCTTCTTTCTATATACATATACATACATATATAAATATATATATATTTAATTTTTTTAGTTGTTATCTATAGTCGATCCGATTTGCTTGCTATCTCCCCCGTTTTGAGGCTTGGCTTATTAGACAACAAACAACTCTTCACGCTCGCTTTAACTTTTTGTCGTTGTTGTTTTTGCTGTTATTTTCAACGCACGTCGCTGTCGACGTTGTTGTTGTTGTTGTTATTGTTGTAGTTGTTGTTGCCGCGCACTTTTTTATGTTGAAGCCAAGAAAAGTGCTACTGGTTTTGAGATTTTATTTTAAAGTCGCTGCGCACAGTTGCCAACGCGCCGCAGAGTCGTGTATTTTTCTTTTGACACTGACTGCGCGAAGCACTCGGCAACTCTGCCGAACATCAACAACAACAACAACAACGGCAGCAGCCCAACCAGAGACCAGCCAGCCAGACAGACAACGTTGAACCAGTCGCTGATGTGTTTGCCTTTCAATATCATTCACACTGGAGAGCGCTTGGCTGGTTCACACGTTGAGTGCGTTTAGGGCAACGAGCTGAAAGTGCAGTAAATGGAATTGTTGAAAATATATATTAAAAATACCAAATGTCATGCATATTGATTTATTAATATACCAATTTCATATCGATATATATGTATGTGTGCATACGTAGCCCGAACAATTATTCTTCATTGTTTGTCCAGGTGAATGGTTTGAGACAATGGGCTCGCCTGTTGTTAACTTTTTCTACTCACACCACACTGGCACGACGGCAACAACAACAGCGTATGCTTACCTCATGCAACATTCAGATACAGATACTTACTCGCACACACAAACACACTCAAACAGACAGACTATAGACACACACACACACACACGCACACTTGGCAGCTGCAGCTATTCATGCATAGACAACAACATCGCCGCGGTTTTGTAGCTACTTTCGCCTCGCTGTGTGCGTATTTTTCATTCATATTGGCAGCCAACGCGAAACAGACAGATTCAACGCTCATTGAGGCTGATTTTTTATGGCCCAGCGCGAAAAAAAAACAAATTTGGTGAAAATATGCAACTAGCTGAGATTCATTATTAAATAAAAACTCACTCAATAATATTAGTTTTTTTCTTAGTGGGGCAAATGAGATTTGAGATTTGAGATTGGAGTGATTGAAATTGAATTTGTTTTTGGTTTTCGGTGTTCGGTTTTGGAATTCGAATCACTCTGCTGTGGTGAATTCTTCGCGTAGGCAGCGAACGTGCGAGGGGGGCTCTGCAGGGGGCGGCGGCTGCTGCTGCTGTTCATACAGCTTGTTTGCCCGCTGTTTGCTTTGTAAATTTAAATGAATGAAAAAAAACTGGCATGAATTTGTCGCAAGTCCACAAACCCCCTGCACCGCACCACACCACACCGTAAAGCAGAGCCGTCATCAGCAACGGCAGCGGCAACGGCAACGGCAACGCGGCGAGCGAGCGCGCCTACAAGTTGGCATATTTTCAATTTCCGTTTTTTTTTTTAAACAACAACAGCAACACAGCAAAGCCCCCAACACTCACAGACACACACATATACGCACACCGACAAAGCTTCGCAGCCCCAAAGCTTATGTTGGCGTCGGTTGCCGCTGGCGGGCATCGGGCATCGGGCATCGGGCAGCGGGCAACGTCCGGTTGGTTTTTAGTACGAAAATTCGTCGCCGTCGTCGGCGTTGCCGTCGCCGTCGTCGTCGCTTATAGCATAGGCTTCGTGCGCTTTTGAGGCCTGTAGTCGCTGCATATGGAACAAGGGCGCTAGCTGATGACGGGGGGTTAAGAAAGGCCGACCATGTGTTGTCGCCTTACAAATGCTGTGTAGTTCAAAATTGTTTTGTAGTCACTCGAACAGCGTGAGTGCAGCGAATTCATTGAGTCAAAGAGCGAATTCGCTTTCGCTCTCGTAAATGATCAAGTATATGCCGAGATACACAAGCAAACACACATACACAAATCTATATGTATACATTTCAAATAATTCCAGTCGGATTTAGCGAAACGTGTTTTTGAAAGAGTGCATTTGTGAGATGAGTATTATTATGAGGCTTTGATATCGATTGAATGAGTTTATTTCTATATTTCTATATTTTAGTCAAATTACATTATTAATCTTAATTATTTAACGGAATACATCATCAAAGTTTGTATCAGCAAAAAATTTATAAATTGATCTGTTTCAATTTAAACAGTCAGTAATTTGTTCAACTATCACTTAAAGTAAAGAAAGACTCAAGTATCTACACTTATTAACTTATACAGTCTATTGTCAATGTAAAAAGCTGTGAGTGGCACTATGTTTGTCATGTGTTCATGTCCGACTGGGTTCTCATCTCACTCATACAGCTGTACTCTCAGCGCGCTCTTTTCGCCGCAAATACAATTTCAGAATGAAATGTATTCGCCGTTGACAAAAAGCAAACGGTTGCCAGTACGTCGCGTCGAACTCGGCATTCATTTCGCTTCAAAAACTTTGAGCGTGTACACAGTGCAACGTGAACGGAGCTGAGCAGAGCGGCTGCCGCGAAGAGTATAATTTTTTTTAGCCTGGCATATTAAACATTCACTTTAAACAATTTAACAACAATTCGAACGACGACCAGTAACAAGAGCAATAATCAAGTTCAAATTAAATGCAACAAATATATAAATAAATGAAAATTGTGCAAAATATAGTGAGTTTTTGAAATGTTTGTATTTAATAAATGAATTGCAATCGCAATCAGAAATCTATTTTGGAATTACAAATTTCTTCCAATGGAAATCATGTGCCTAAAAATGTAAATTGCGCAAAGAAAATCGACGTCTATTTAAAAGTCCAACAACAACGAGCACGGCAAAAATATCTAGCGAAAAAAAACACAAAAAAAATTCAATTCAAATACAAAACGTGTTAAGCGAAAAATAAAACAACAGCTAAAGCAGCAGCAACAACAACAACAACAGCAACACCAACAACAGCAGCAGCAACAGCAACATCAACAACAACAACAACACACGAAATTTGTCTATATAAAATTGCATAAAAATATTTTTTTACTGTAGTGTGTTTGTCGTAGCGCACACAGTTACACAGATACAAAAGCGACACTCACACAGCTGCAGTCGTCGACGTGGCCCCCGTCTAAGTGTGCGTGCGTGTAAGCATGTGTGTGTGCGTGCCAGTGTACATGTGTGTGTGTGAGCCGCAGTCGCTGTCAACGTCAACGTAAACGTCGCCGTCTTCGCCGTCACCGTTGTCGTCGTCGTCGCCGTCGTCGCTGCTGCCTTCGCAAACGTTCATTTATTATTATTATTATTATATTTTTGGCACGCAAACCTGTAACAGTCGCCTGTGCTGCCAGCGTCGCTGTCGCCGTCGCCGTCGCTGTCGCTGTCAACGCTGCGTTTTGTGTTAATTAAATTTACTTTTGTGAATGAAATGCGAAAAAAAACCAAACAAAGCGAATAAAAAATATATTTTTTAATATGTACATAAATGCTAAATAAATAACGCAAGCAAATCTACGCTCGTCTATTTGTATATATATATATAAATAAATACAAACACACACACACATACACATACATACATACATGCGTATATGTATATATAGATGAACGCGATCGCGTGTAGTTGAAATAAAGGCCAAATCGAAGCGAGCGAAACTTTGGATTATACGAGTATACGAGCACAGCATTAATTGGATATATCTCTATATATATTATATATAAATATATATATATAAATATATTCACGACTCAGACAAATTTGTTGGATTACAACATTTCTATATATTGGATTTAAACGGATTGCTTTTGAAAATCAATGTAAGTTGAGTTGGGAAATATTTCTCTTTTTGTCGCTTTTTTCTGTTTTTGAATTGTTTAACCTTCAGCTCAGATATCAGGAAATGCACAATTACCAATTGCCACAAGCGATTCGTGACAAATGCAAATGTTAATTTATGTCTATATATATGTGTGTGTATATGTAGTATATAGCCTAGTATTTCGTATAGTAAACAACAACAGGAAGAATTTGAAATGTGTTTCCAAATCGTTGCAGCAAATTCTTTTTAGAGATTTCAATTTGCCGGAAACTAGAACAATGTTTTTCTATAATAAATCATGCATAATCTGTGGCCATATAGGATTAGCTTTGGGAGAGTAATCCTTTCTCTTCTCTCTTTTATTTAATGAAATATTTGTACACCTTCTAAACTCGCTCTGTATGCCGCATACCCTACGCAACCCTGTGCGTCTACAGGGTATTTTATATAGAAATGTTTAACTGACTTTGCAGTTGTTTTGTTTGTCTCGTCGCGTCGCGTTTTTATTTACCGATCCGCCAGACAGATAATGCGCGGGGCATATATAATAAAGATTAGGAATTCATGTTAATACTAGAGCCAAGCGAAAAACAGTTTGTACAAATAGTTCCACTTAATAGCACTATTTGTATAAATATATTTACATATATGTGTGTGAGCTTATATATATTCATATGAAATCGGATGTGCTAGGCTTTGCTTCATTGTTGCCTCGTTTGATAAGCTGATTATTATATAGCTGCCCATTCACTAAATCTCACAGTTCTCGTCTAATCAATATTATTTGATATTCACTCATTGAAAAAACACCTGAGTAATCGATCAACGATAATCGAATAATCGATACTCTGTCTCTCTCTCTCTCTCACTCACGTGCCTAGCCAAAAATCTTCCTTATTATATATATATATATATATATATATATATATATGTGTGTTCTATTTATAGTTCAATTTCGTCATTTACCTCTTCTTCTTCTGCCTTGCTTGTGGCATCCGCTCGATAAGCATTCGATAAGCTTTTACTTTCTATTTTCCCCTGACAAACGGCTCAAATATCAGCCACAGCTATCTTGCCCCACTGGAGTGCGCTAAGAACTTGTGGAAGGTACGAACACTTTCGAAAAGCCAGTAAATAGCACTTTCAAGGCATATGCACGACTGCAAGCATACACTGTTTCAGGTGTAGTTGAGACTCTATTTTGCCAGACTATGAATATAAATACAGACTTTCTTTATATATAGCATATATAGTAAATAATACATGATTAGAAATAGTAAATATTATAATATATTATATATTATATACTATAAGTAGAGCTTAACTAAATTGCAGTCTAAAATGGAGCCAGCTGAATATTGAAATAGTTATAAAACAGCTTAGATCATATCCTTTGGGTCTCTCAAGTTGCCTTTCAGGCATTAGTCTGGCAGTCTGCAAACATAAGCCAAGCCATGTACCCGCTCAGCGAGCGCTGCGTACAGAGTATTTGGGAAAAATACGTCTCTATCGTGCATAAGTCGAGAGTCCAAAAATAAATAAAAGAGGCGTACGAAACTTATTTTTTTTCTTTGCTTCAGCCCGATAAAGTTCGTTGTGGGCATGTTAACAATTTGTTGTTGTTTTTAGTTGTTGTTGCTGTTGTTGTTTATATTTTGATCGATGGTCTCTGCGTTCCACATACGTTTACTTGTCGAGCGTATTTTTCTCAGCTTTTTTGTTTTTCTGTTGTTTTTTGGCTCGTGACTGCATTTTTGTTGGTTGTCTTTTGGAAGCGAAGTCGAATTCTGATTTGGAGCTGATAGGGTTCTCTGATAGCAGCTGTCGCCCCTCTGCAAAGGGTAGGCGTGGCACGTTCATGTGTGCTCCTCAATGGAAACGTGATTTGCAAATAGTTTTCGACTTTTTATTCATTTTTTTTAACAAGCGCTTCGCACTTGGCATTAGACTTAATTTAAATAAATGCAAAAAACACACAGAGAGAGAGAGAGACAGACACTCTCATAGTTGGCTATTTATGTCATAGCCAAAAATATATATATGTATATCAAGAATTCATTCATGAACGTGGCCAAAAGGCAAACGCGCTACTCGCGCATATAAATAAATAAATTATATGCTTAGATTTGATTAGGCAAATAAATAACAAACAAGCAGCAGCAGCAGCAGCAGGTATTTCATGTGTTTTAGCCAAAAACACATTCACAATGTCGTCGATGACGCAGTCAGGAAAATTTGAAAGCAGCGAGGGAAATTGTTAATGTGAAAAGCGAAACACAGACGCAAATGCAGCAAAGCAAACAGCGAAATTCTATTGCACATTACTAGGAAACATAGACGATTTACCAAAACAATAATATCTATGTATATATATACATATATACAGATATAGTTTATATACAATTTATGACTTATGCTCAAGTGCTTGATAAACACAGCCGAACGTGTGCCAGCAGCTAAAGTTCTGCTGCTGCTGCTGCTGCTGCTGTTCGGCTATCGAAAACTAACTGAAATGTGTTAGCCAGATATACGTATATATGCGTATAAGTTAACTTATAACACTTAGTTAGCTTATAACACTTAATGTAAGGTATTATTCAACACTTATTATCGGGTGCTAGACAAGTTAAGGAACAGCCCTGGCAAGGGCAACTCTACTTACGCCGGTGAGGCTATGATTTGTAAAAATATAGATCAGTCTCGTGTTTTAACTCGTACTGATAGGACATGCTAAAAATTGGTGTCATATAAGTAAAACTAAAAATAGTGAATATAATAAGAAAAACCAATAAAATTAACTGTTTCGATTATTCAAAAAAGAACAATTAAAAGCAGGGTTAAAAAGCGTTCTTCCAGTAAACCGCTTAAATAAATATTCACTCCGTCATTTGCTCGTTAAATGGCTTATTTCATTGTCTGAGCCCGAGGCCAGCAATAAGAGGCACAGTCGCCTCTCAACCTAACTTTCAGTCACCACAGGACTGGAAAACATATAATTGGCGCCCAACTAGTGGTCGGACTCCACAACCAACAACAATTAAGACAGCAGCGCGGGAGCTGCAATTGACAGATCTTATAAAGGGATTTTTTTTTTTTTGTTTTGTGTTAGTTGAATCTTGTAAGTGGATACTCTAGCCAAAATTTTTCTTCAAACACAAAAAGTGTTAAAATTTATTTTATAAAAAAATACCTAGGACTAGCGAGTATTTTATATTGCAATTGCATGTAAAAAAAAAAAAAAAAAATTAATGATCAGAACCAAGTGAGAGTGACTACTTTGGGAATTTTAGTGGCAGCAATTGATCATTCAGATCGTCAATAAAATTACATTGTGTTACTTTCTGTGTGTCTGAAGTTGTGCATGCAGTTCTCGTAGTTCAGAGCTGTGACGTAATTCGACCCATCTTCTGACGGTCCGTTTTATTTTTCGCGACCACTGACCTGCGCATGTCTCGGTTCAACCAATAGAGAAACCCTCGCAGGCAGTCTAGCGACTCAGATTCCGACTGTGCAGTTCTCCCACCATCAGGTAGAATGGATGTAGATCAGCTTACGGAAGTAATAAGGACGGCTATCAGCAAAGCTTTAGCCGAACAGGCTGCTGTAAACCAGCAGAGGGAGCATGCATGGACTCAAAAAATTAATGAGTTAGCTGAACAAATAGCAGATGCATCCCCATTAGTTAGAAGTTCTTTTTTGAAAATGCTGAAGACCAGACAAAAGGCCTTTGCAGACCCAGACGAGACGTTGCCGTATAACACATCAGTCGTGGCTACCATTAGGACCATAGATGAGCAACCGATCTATACCAAGCTTTACCCATATCCAATGGGAGCGGCTGATTTCGTTAATAAAGAAATCAAAGATCTACTAAAGAATGATATAATTCAAAAGTCCGTCTCTCCCTACAATAACCCAATATGGGTAGTAGACAAGAAGGGCACTGATGAAGCGGGCAATAGGAAAATGAGGTTGGTAATGGACTTTCGTAAACTTAACGAAAAAACCGTGCCGGACAAATACCCTATGCCAAATATATCAATGATATTGGGGAATTTGGGGAGAGCCAAATTCTTTTCAACATTAGACCTCAAGTCTGGTTATCACCAGATCATACTCGCTGAACGCGACCGTGAAAAAACCTCTTTCTCTGTGAACGGGGGGAAATACGAGTTCAAAAGACTCCCCTTTGGATTAAAGAATGCAGCAAGCATTTTTCAAAGAACCATCGACGACATACTGCGAGAGCAGATTGGCAAATTTTGCTATGTTGATGTCAATGACGTAATCATCTTTTCAGAAGATGAGGAATCCCACATTAAACACGTGGATCGGGTCCTAAAAAGCTTATACAAAGCAAACATGAGGGTCTCCGTCAAAAAGTCACGTTTTTTTAAGAAAAGCGTGAACTTTCTTGGTTTCGTAGTCACCAGCACTGGCACCACGACGGATCCTGAAAAGGTTAGGGCAATACAGGAGTATCCAGAACCAAAAACGCTGTTCGAGGTTAGATCATTTCTAGGCCTCGCAAGTTATTACAGATGTTTCATTAGGGACTTCGCCGCAATAGCAAGACCCATCTCGAATATCCTAAAGGGTGAAAATGGAACAGTCAGTAAGCATAGGTCCAGAAATATAAAGGTTCAATTCTCTGAAGTGCAGCAGAGGGCATTTCAGAAGTTGCGCGATATTTTGTCATCCGAGAATGTAATGCTCAGGTACCCCGATTTTAAGAAGCCATTCGATCTAACGACCGATGCTTCGGCTCACGGCATAGGTGCAGTTTTGTCTCAAGAGGGTCGTCCTATAACAATGATTTCAAGAACATTGAAGGACAGTGAGGTTAACTATGCAACCAATGAGAGAGAGTTATTGGCCATTGTATGGTCACTTGCCAAATTAAGGCACTATTTGTATGGGGTGAAAGACATTAATATCTTCACTGACCATCAACCCTTGACCTTCGCAGTTTCGGAATCTAATCCAAATGCGAAAATC